GATTTCTTAAGAATTTACGTGCAAAAAGAACTTGGCGGTCGGCCATGGTTCTCTTGTAATTGAATTTTAAAGTTCCCGGGTTTGCTATCAAAAACAAGGGTGCTTTTCTCATATTTTCAATCAAAGTTATTACGTTTTAATGAGTTCCTATAAAATTAATATATTGTTTAAATGAGTTCCTATAAAATTATTTAATTGTTTAAATGAGTTCCTATAAAAAAAATGTAGCATTTTTTTAATTTAAATAGTTTTATTGAACACTTTTCCGCACCACCATTGAGTTAAAGTTCCAGGTTTCTTCTTTAATAACCTTTTATGGCCTAGAAATCTCTCTGCTGAAGTATTCCCGATTAGGAAGTATTTGAACGTAGTGCATTTAAAAAAGATAGCAAACAAAAAAACTGCGCCGAGGGCAATAAAAATTAAAGAAAAAATCGCGCGATTTCCTATTCGGGAATATCGACTTTCAGCTAACGGTTGGTGGGTATAAAAGGCCGTGCAGTGAACCATTTCAGTCTCTTTGAATTTCATAATTCAAACCATTTAAAACATCTTACATTTATTATTATGCCTCTCGAACGCGACATTGAGTTCAACAACATGGCTGGGGCCATGAATAACATGGTCCTAGCCATGTTGGCGTCTTACAGGGCAAGGGGGTAGAAGTGGGGGATATTTCTGTGGGGGTAAATCTTCAGCCGGCTCCATCGCCTTCCAATGGGGTGTCCGGAGGTATGGGGCCTCGGGATCTAGTAATAGATCCCGGCCGGTCCCTTACTCGACAGAGGGACACTGAGGCCGAGCGTCTCGAATGTTACGTGACGCTCGCAGAACCCCGGAAAAGGGGGCTCCTCGTACTGAGGCCGAAAAAATATAATACATCAGAGCAGTGCCCCAAACGACATAGTTTTGCTCCGGGAAGCCATAGGCAAAGCCAGTCCTGGGACAGGGGATAGAACATCATTCCCTGCTCATGCTCTAATGGATGTGGAGCAGAAGGCTGTTCTCCTCCAAGATCTGCTGTCTCCGCCTTTAAGGGCATCGGAGACGGAGGAAACAGTTCCCAGGCGGACGATGGAGTGCTTGACTATAGGGTAATTTCGGGATCGGCTCCAGTTATGGGGAAAAATGGTATTTCCGGACCATTTATAATTGATTCCAAAGGAAATTTAATTCCTTTGTTTTTAAACTTTTAGTGAATTAGTTGTTCCGTGCTTCTATAAGCTCGAAGATGGCACACAGCGGCTTGTCGCATACATCTCTCATAGAAACAACAACTAAATTGTATCAAATAAAAATTACGAAATGGAACGAGTTTATATCACTCTAAGGAACCGCGTTGTCTACTAAACCGAACCAAAAAAAAGGGTGCGAAGAAGTAGTAAACCACAAGCACGACTAATTCAATAAAAGTGTAAAAATAAAGAAATTAAAGGGAGGAATTGAATTCCAAAATAATCAAAAATAAACTGTCAATTTTTCCCCATAAAAAACACCGCTGATGTTATTGGTCCCGAAGGGAGGTAAGTTGAAACAGAACAAAGATAATCCAATTTAAAATAAGAGGTTCAGTTTCGGAAGAATAGATCAAGACGTCTTGCTTCTCTCAAAAGAAATATTTATAAAACATAACAAAAATTAAATTTACAGGACTTTGAATTTTAACTACTCGGCTGTAAAATATTTTATTTTTTGATAAAATAAACAAGTGTTTTTACTTTTATTAAAATAAGCTTTAACCGGCTAACCTCGAACAGTTAAAGTCCCTGCTAAGGCATTTTGGCTTTCTCAACAATGTGAGCTAACTCAGGGACTCGGAGTCCCTGCTAAGCGTTTTCGACTCGATAGAATGAGTTGATTTCTAAAGGCATTTTTCCACTATGCGGTTTTTTCGGTATTTTTGTGTATTTTCGATTGGCAACGCGATAGGCGGACGTGAGGTGTTTCCATTGGCAAACGCGTCTGAAAACAGCTGTTGTGCTATTGTCATTTGCGAGCTGAAGTAAACAATGGATTTAAATAATTTGTTATTGATAATTGTAATCGCAGAACAGCATTTGAACGTGGAAACATTGCGCAATGATGAAAGCAACAACATCCCACGTTACGCGCTTGAGCATTTATTACGGCAGAAACAAAAGGATCGCGCAGAAGGCGTCATATATAAGATCTGAACAGTCATTTAATTAATTCTTGACACGACCCGCGACAGCAGTAGCTTCGCGGCGGCACGTCACTGAACAGAATCTGATACGGGGCGAAATCCTACAAGAACATTGTGCGCAAGAAAAGGAGATGTGCCCTTTTCCAGCGTCGCCTGCAACGTGTGTCATTGAATATGGAATGGCCATCTACGGTCTAACCAGGAGGTCCCTTAATGGACGAATGGCCACGCGAAGCAAACGTCAAGATCATGGAGACGGGAAAGCCCATGTGGCTGCGCTGCAACGACCAATATTTCGCTCCGATCCTTTCTAGCCGAGCCATTCCATTGGATAAACGAACTGCTACTGCCCTTTATGCGCTTGGATCATCCTCGGAATTCTGAACTATTGCCAGATCATTTGGCATATATCATATATCAAATACCAATCTATACGAAATAAAGTTCATGTTTTAATATTTCCCGCTTCTTATCAGCCTCTTATCAGTTTCGGGTCCAGAAAAATGTTCATGCCTGGTTAATACTGCTTAAATATACCACAAATTTCACTTTCCAGCCCTGTAACGCGACAAATTTCCACCCTCCCCTCCTCACCCCTCGCCTACAAGTTTTGTATGGGATTTGGGCGCGTTAAACGGTAAATGGATGCAAACGCGACGCATCCATAATGAGCAGAGGGCATTAATGGCGCACGCGAAGCAAACGTCAAGATCATGGAGACAGGGAAGCCCAGCCATTCCATTGGATAAACGAACTGCTACTGCCCTTTATGCGCTTGGATCATCCTCGGAATTCTGAACTATTGCCAGATCATTTGGCATATATGATATATCAAATACCAATCTATACGAAATAAAGTTCATGTTTTAATATTTCCCGCTTCCTATCAGCCTCTTATCAGTTTCGGGTCCAGAAAAATGCATGCCTGGTTAATACTGCTTAAAAATGCCACAAATTTCACTTTTCAGCCCGCGACCATTTTCCACCCTCCCCTCCTCGCCCCTCGCCATCAAGTTTTGTATGGGATTTGGGCGCGCGACGCGTAATGAGCAGGGGGCATTATTAAAGGGAGAAAAGCTTGAAACAGAACAAAGATAATCCAATTTAAAACAAGAGGTTCAGTTTCGGAAGAATAGATCAAGACGTCTTGCTTCTCTCAAAAGAAATATTTATTAAACATAACAAAAATTAAATTTACAGGACTTTGAATTTTAACCAGGGACCGTAAATAATGATTATTGATATATTTTTTGAATCAAAAAATCAGGCACTTAGGATCGACATACGCAAAAAAGGAAAACACCATAGTGATCGTCTTTGCTTAATCTATTAATTATCGTCATGATTTTTATTTTTGGGATTTTTATAATATTCCTCAAAAATAATGATTATTGTTGATTTTTATTTTTTCGCTCAAAAATAAAACTAACTTGGACGCCACGGCTTTTCTGTGCCGATTTTCGGCGTTTTTTTTGCATAGTCCTATGTAGCGAATGCAGACGTACCACCTCTGAAAAAAAAAAATTGAACTTGGCTTCTGCATCCCGTTAAATGGTATCATTCTTATAGTCAGTAAAGGAGATACTTCTAGCCTTTGTTTTTGTTTATGTATTTACCCAGGGATTGGAGTCGAAATGCACTTGTCTTTCTCTCTCACTCTACAATAACTAATTAACCAATGAAGGCTGCCAGCTCGACCATACATACTGGAACACTTTTTGAAATCTCTAGAATCTAAAGAAGCATTGTCCCTTATTCTTAAGGAACAGCTTATTCCCCTCTTCTTAAGAATTCGCGGCTTTTGCAGAACTAATATGAATATCAAACCATGTATAGAAAAGGGTTTTATGTAAGTAGAAATTGGTTAACAAAGTCTGAAGTATTAGTTGTTCTTAAGAATTCGCGGTTCTTCAAAAATCGATTTCAACATAGAACCTATTTAAGACATAGGTCTATAACTTCTATACAACCCAAAGCCTATTGATGTGAGCACATATCCAGCTAAGAAGTAAAAACATTTTCTTTGTATAAACCGCTTAAAAAGCGGTTGACTTTTGTATAAAAAAAAAATTTTCTGTGGGAATCGAACACTTGCTTACAGCTCGGTGGACCCACTAACACCCAGCCCACACGTCGGGTTGGGTCTATGTGGAATAGTTCATAACATCTTGTTAAGTCGTTTTGCTAATATATAAATGACCTAAAGTCCTAAGGTTGCTACAACTTTTTGTGTTTATGCATACCTCTTGTAAACTAATAACCGCGTTTTTAAAAGTTTATACAAAGAAAACACCTTATTTTATTAACTCAATATGTGTTTCGTGGTTCTACCTACAAGCACAAGTTTAAATCTTTCTAAAATGCCGTACAGAACGGCTGCAATCGCACTTTGAGTGATATTTTTAAGCGGAATAATATCGCTCACATAATAATCATTATTTCTGAGCGATATTTTTATCGCTTACAAATAATCATTAAAGGGTAATTTTTACTTATAAAATAAGCGGTAAAGCTAACATTCTGTTAGCTGCATTGAGTGGTTTTAGTATGGGGGTTAACAGTGCGCAAGGAATGGAGTGAAAAGTTAACAGTGCGCACGAATTGGAGTGGAATAGCATCGATAGCATCGACGATTTAAAAACGGAAATACATCGATGTCAAACTGTTTAACCGCAAACCCCCTGTGAAGTTTGCAACCATTTTAAATAAACCGCCGATGTTAAACAATCGCTGACCCTATCGATATCCGACATCCAGAACTATCGGCCTTTGCCATCACCATGCTGTTTCGTATTTTTTATATATCGATATCAGGGTCCATTTTGAGAAGTTAATCGATATAAACAATAAAATATAAACGAACAAATAAAATATTATAAAATCTGCAAACATTTTACGCAAAATCAAGAACTCGTTCCGCCAGCGCAAGAAGAAGAACCGACCGCGGCAGGCCACGCCCCCACTGCCAGCAGCAGCCGCCCCCTTAGCCGGAAGTTCCTCGTCGACTTTTGGCCCGCGGAGCACCCACTTTCCGCGGGAGGAGCACCCCGAATCCTCCAGGGGTTTCAAGGATTCCCAGGATTTTCTGGGAGCCGGCAGGATGGAGAGCAATCTGAACAGGATCATCCGGGAGTCCGCGAAGCTGAAACTCAGCGGACAGCTCAGCAAATACACGAATGTGATGAAGGGTATGATGTATAAAGTATAATATCAATATTCATTATCTACTCTTCTTATCAGGTATTGCGCATAATATCACTTACCTTTGGAGATACTGCTCTATTAATATCCTATAACTGAAGAAAACCCAAGTTTCATTAGAAAACTCCCAACGGAACCCCAATTTTTTTAGATTTATTTTAGAAATCCTTTAGAAAGCCCTTTTATTTTATTTTCACCTTTGAAGATGCTGGCCTACAAATATAAAAAATGCCTTAAATTATTATTTTATAACTGAAGAAAACTTAAGTTCCATTAGAAAACTCTTAACGGAACCCCAATTTTATTAGATTTATTTAGGAAATACATTTGAAACCCCTTTTATTTTTAATTTTTCCTCACACAGTCTTCCAATCAATTTTTCAATCATTAGTTAAAAATCTTAATAATTTAATTCTTTACTTAAATCAAAAGGCAAAATGCAGTTAGTTACACTTTAAAAACGAAATCAGAATTCTTTAGTAGAAACAACTAATTCTTTGTCAAAATATTCAACTCATTTCATTTTTCTAGTCACATTATTGCAATTATATTAACAAACTTCACGCTTTATTATAAAATAATTGGTTATCCGAAAAAGATTAGACAATGGATTACTCTATGTCTTAATCTTTTACTTATAATCAAAACTAACCAAAAAATCCCTTAACTTCTGTCTTTATTATGAAAAGCATTAAATATTCCTCAAAATATAAAACAATGAGGGTTACTGCACTGTTTAATAACTTTATTATAATCGATGCTACCCAAAATATACGCTTAAATACACACACCACATAGAACGTCATCGTTAATCGTAGTATTTATTTCCAGGCTGGCAGTACCGCTGGTTCACAGTGGACGCAAAGACCGGATCGCTGAGCTACTACTTGTGCGACTCCTCGACGGTGGGCGACGACATCGCTCCCTCGCCCCACGTGCTCGCCAGTGCGCCGAGGGGTCAGGTGCAGTTGGCTGGCGCCGTGGTCTATCCAAGTGACGAGGACTCCAGGACCTTCGCCATCGCCTGTGCCTCCGGGGACACGGTGAAGCTGAGGGCCAACGATGCCAGGGCTCGGCAGGAGTGGGTCGATGGCCTGCGCGCGGTGGTCGAGAGCCACATGAAGGCCATGGACATCAGCAACTCGTCGCCGCTGCCGCCGCGCGAACTGCTGGCCGCCTCTGATGCCATGGTCTCAGCTCGCCAGGCTTTGTATCTCACTGAACAATGGTATGGAATCTTAAGTAGCTGTTTTAGAGGGTAAACTAATTATACAAATTTACTTTCCAGCAACGCTTCGCTGGCCCGCGCCATCGAGAGCATCGACTGCGCTTCCTTCTCGCCCACGGATCCCGATCTCCTCCTGCTCAAGGCCATCTCGACGGCAAGCACCCAGTGTTTGGGTCAGTGTTTGGGCCTGCTGCAGCGCCACCAGGAGATCAATCAGCCGCCGGCGGAGGCCGCTCCCCTGGTGCTCTGAGATCCCGAGATAGTTTCCTCCAGTATTCCACTATGATTTAACCCAATAAACACTAAGCCAAGCTAAGAAGATTGAAGAAGATTGATGTTGGTTGGTAAGAGAAGAGAAGACTTTCCGGTAGAGCTGGAAAATGATCGACATTTTCGATATTTTGACAATTTCGATTCGATAATGCCAATGTTTTAAGGAGAAAACGCAAATTAAATATCGAAAAATATGAAACTGTTGATATTTTTCGATACTTTGACAATGTCGATTCGATAATACCTATGTTTTAAGGAGAAAACACAAAGTAAATATCGAGAAATTTAAAAGTGTCGATAAATATCGAGAAATAGCAAACTGTCGATTTTTTCAAGCTCTACTTTCAGGGTGTCGTAAAGTCCGCTGAAATCAGAAACTGCATTTCAAGATGAGGTTCGAAGCAATGAAAAGACTTTTTCGGGCTTGGGTTACTTTTCAATGTTTTTATAAAATACTTTTGTTCGTTTCGGTTTTCCATTTTTCCGCTTTTTGTTTTCTTGGATTAATTAGAACATTCATTTCGACATTTAAAGTTAATTTGAACATAAAGTTTGCACTAAAGTTTATAGAAAATGTTGAGTTTTGGACTTGGACACAGATCGTACAAAGATACATAATATCCAGGAGATTTTTTTGTTTTAATTGCTAACTCTTGCCATTGTTTTTTTTATATTACATCCTATTCCGAAAGTAGTTTGTTAAGTTTCGATACATGGTGTGTGGAACATCAAAGTCTATTTTGCGGAGGGGGATTCTCATGGGGATTACATAGATACTTATATATCGTGTGTGTGTTTATATACGGGCTATGGCTATGGTAGATGTTCTTGCGTATGCAAAAATAGTTGTGTTTATCCATTATCGTAATTAACTCTCTTTTCTGCGCTTAATCAATTGTGTGCTTGCCTAAACGAAACGCTGCCGAAAGGGGTTTTTAACCAAAAGACTTATATGTTCTCATCTCGATATTCCATCCCATCATAATGTCGCCAGACTTGTGTAAAATAAATCCACGAATTCTGCTGCGAATCTCGGTGCTCGCTTTTTTCGCCGGGACAGAAGCAGAGCAGAGTCCAAATTAAGGCTAGAAAAGGCACTTTAGAAGGGGATCTAGTGGGGTGCTTGAAGGGGTTAATATGCGGGGTTTTTAATAGAGCTTTAAAATTATCGATATTTTCGATATTTTCACAACGTTGATTCGATAATTGTACGATAATTTCGATATTTTTTCAAGCTCCAGTTTCCAATAATCTTAAATCAGGGGCATATAAAGTTTGACCGGATCGCAGCAGTAGTCGTTGTACAAAAATTTCGATTCTAAATTTTGTCTAAAAATTTCGCTTGTATAAATACGTTTAAAAAAGTTCACTTGTTTTGTTTCTTGTTTCTTTTCTTTTTACAAATTTTGTTTGCGTTGAAATTCAACGCTGAATTTAATTCCGAAAGGCATTTTTTGTGAATCTCTTGTTTTTATCGTTAAGCCTAAACATTAAATTTAGTTGATTTCCCTTCTTTTTTGTTTTTAGTAATTTTGTACATTTTCCATTCTCTCATTTTTTTTAGTAAATTATAAAACAAAATTCGGGCACACAATTTACCAAGTTAAATCCGCTCAAAACTCTTTTGATTTCGTTTACATTTAATTAATATTATGCTGCTGGGGTTGGTTTTCGGTTTCTATTTCGGTTTGCTGTTTTTAATTTAAGTTTTGTGGAATGTTCCGGGTTTTCTGCTCCACCTTCCACCTTTCAGCTGTAGCTTACAACTAAAGAGATCGATCGCTATTTATTTAGTTAGACTGATGGACTATAACATAATAATACTTTCAATTTTGATTCAATAAGTACGCTAGGAATAGAAACTAGGTGGCGATCGAGGATCGCGTGGAGGAAACTAGAGATAAACTGGCGCATGTAAACGTATACCTTGGTTAACTACGGAGATAATGTACATTTTTAAGTATCAAACACAAAAGTTGTTAAAGCTTATGTTTAAATTCGTTTGAATATCGAGTAATGGGTTTTTTAAAATTTAAAAAAACAAAAGATTTGGAAGAGAAACCTTTAAAATGTATTTACGTTTTACATCTAGTTTATGTACATATTTCTTGGGAATATATTTTTGATTTTTAATTAAAAAAACTTTTGTACAATTTATTTTATCATGTTATATGGAATATTAATATTCTATTATAAAATTATTATAAAATAAAGTGTAGTATATTAACCAAGGTATAGGTGTACACAAGTTTTTCCATTTTTATCGTTTCATAACTTTCATTTTTCACTTATCATTATTCATTTCATCCCCCTTTTCTACTCGCTAGTGGTGGTAATGGGCTCCACTTTGATGCCACCACTGCTGGAGGAACTGGGCGCATCGGTTCCCGGTGTCTGGGAGGAGCCTCCCCCTGATCTTTCTGGAGGCACAGCGCCCGTTGCCGCCGAGGAGGAGGAAGAGGAGACACTGGCGCCCACCAACTCAGCCAGATCCTCGGCGAACAAACGACTGGGCGAGAACTCCCGCTTGTAGCCGGCCATGTCCAGGCCGAGATCGCCGAGCGGGGAGTGGAGACGAGGGGTTTCGCTGCGCAGCGGACTGCCCTTGGCCTTGGAGGCGGGATGATGCTGACCCAGCGAGGAGGAGGAGGCCGAGGAACTGGAGCTGGCACCGAAGCCACCGGATTTGTGGTGATGCTGCTGCTGCTGCTGATGGTGGTGCAAGTGGGCCTGTTGCTGTTGCTGTTGCAGGTGGAGCTGCTGGAGATGATGGTGGGCGGCCTGCTGTTGCTGCTGCTGCTGGTGGTGCAGTGCAACGGCCATGCTGGGCGGCAGATTCGGCAGGAGGCCAGCGGGACCGCATGGCGAAGGCGCATGCCTGGGCCCTGAGCCGCTGCTCAAGGCCGGCGATATGCTGGCCCTGCCTCCGCCCGCTCCTGGCACCCCCACCCCCCAACCCCCACTCCCGGGTGGGGTGGCAGATTGAACAAACCCGGCGGAACGGGCGGTGGTCCCGCCTCCCCGTGCTGATGCTGCACGGCCGCTGCCATTTGCATCTGCTGTCGGATGTTGTGGGCCACTGCGGCCACCGCAGCGGCAGTTTCCTGCGACATGTGCTGATCGCCACCACCCACTCCTCCCACTCCGCCCACTCCGGCCTGCGGACCACTACCATTCGGACAGGCCAGCGAGCTGGGCGCTCCTGCCAGGGCGCCACTTGCGCCGGGATAGCTCAGCGGAATGTCCTGCAAGGGAAACGCGGGCTAACCCGAGAGCAGTTAGTTCGGTTCAGGGGAATGGCTCCTTATAAATACAGTATACCTCGCAAAGCTGCCTTTTCTAACCATTAATTCAAGAAAACTTTTAAGTAATTAGTAAAGGAAAATGTAAGTTAACTTTGTAACTTATGCTGCAACTTTTAAGAAAATCTTTAGCAAGAATTAAAGAAAAGGCATATAAGAATATATTAAATATTTAAAGTTCTTTGCCTTGAAATAAATTTTAAAAAGTTAATAAAAATTAAAATATTAGATTACATTATTAAAAACAAATATTAGGTATCATAAAGTAAAATAAAATAATTGTCCTAAATGTTAAAAATGATTTGGGTTTAAATAACGTTGATTAAAAATGGCGATAAATAAATAATTAAATAGTATTATTATTAAACTAATTTAATATCAATTCATAATCATAAATTTGCAAGATATAAAATAAAATGCATTAAATAAATTTAAATCTTTAAAGAAAGAGCACTAAAATGTCATGTCTAATCAAGAGAAAATATTATTTTGGAGTCCAATATTAAGTTGGAATTTGTATATCAACAGAAAAGTTTAGTTATTATCCTAATTTCAATTAATTTACTTTATTTGCTCCTTTTATTTACTGTTTTAATTTAATTTACTATTAAGTTGTTTCCATAAATCTTTAAATTAAAGGTTTTCAAGGGATTTTTGAATTATACGACATATTTAATTGATTTTTATTTGATTTTAATTTTTTTTTGATTTATTTTAATTTTATGAAGTATTTAATTGTTTCCAGCAATCTGCTCAAACAATCAATCAAAGGGCAACTCAGCGAATTATACTGCAGTAATTACCTACCGAATGTCGGCCGTAGGGCGGCATGTGGGCCGCCAAACTATCGTCCTTGATGTCCTTGGTGTCGCGGAAGACCACCGTCTTGATGACGCCCTTGATGTGCTCATCGGGCCAGATGCCCAGGAGGATTCTCTGCGGTCTGCCCCTTCCCTTGGGTCGCAGATCCGGGCCGCCGTCGATGGAGGGACCCAGCATGTTGTGCACCCTATTCGCATAGAGCACAAAAGTGGGATACGGGATGTCGTATTTGCGGGCGGCCTGCGACAGCGAGAGTCCCTCCTTCAGGACACTGAAAATAGCTTCGGCCATCGTCTCGGGACGCCAGGACTTCAAAGGACCTCGCTCGCGGAAGCGCATGTGGTGCATCAGGTTCTGGTTGGTGTTCCAGCACTTCTGCCACATAGACTGCAACTGGTACTGGTAGCTGTCTGCTGAAAGATCAGAGATCGAGTTCAAAAAACGATCAGTTGGTTTCGATGATTGTGACTTAGTTCCTCTACAAACCTGCCAGCGTGGATCCGGTGGCACCCATCCAGGCATGCGAGTTCTCCATCATTTTGGCCTGCAAAATAAAAGAGATTCAAGTATGAGCAAAGTGAGGAAAAGGTAAGTGGTGCTTCAATTAATTGTGTGACTCGCTTTGGTTAGCGCTCGATGCGCCGTCTCCTCTTGTCTGTCGTCTTGTTTAGAATTCCCGCCCACCTTTTGCCATTTGATTGACATGCAAAATCGACCTATTTTCGTTTAATTTCATTTTTTTTTGTATTTTGATATCCATGTTTAGTATGGGTTTAGGGTTTGTCTGGGTATTTTAGCATAGAGAATATTTAATTTTTATATACTCTACAATATTTTTAGGTCTTTTAAGGGCAAGGAAATTTTTTTTATTGATCAATTCAGAGCTATTATCATTTTAAAACTTTTCTTTCATTTGGAAATTCTGGACAAAACTGGTTTATAAAAAGTGTTTAAAAGTACACTATAAATTATAGAGCATACTTTTGGACACCTTTAAAAATAATTTTAAAATTTTTAGGGATTTTATTTAATAACGGTAAACATTTTACTAATTATTCAAAAAATTAAAAATACAAACTATAAAAAATATTTAAAAATAATTATTTAGCTTTAAGTTTTAGTTTTTATTATTTTTCATTATTTTTAAATCTCTACCTACATTTTTTAAAATATTTCTTGCAAGTTTAATCACTTTTACGACATTTAAGAGGTACCTGATTACTGAAAGGGATACTTTCTGCTCCAACTACCGAGACTTTTATGCATCGATGTTCTAATTCGAATTGCAACGTCAACGATACATTTAACTGGCTGACTGAACCTTCGAGTGGCGACTTGGTTGTCGTTGCTGCGGTTGTCTGTTTGCCGACCGTCGAGTGGCTTGCATCGAATTCACTAATTGCATAACAAAGTAACATTTGCATATTGTTCTACATATGTTAGTGGCTGGCTTCGGATTCGGATTCGTTTTCGGATCCACCTTGTCGATAACTTCATTACAAAAATTTCCATGAACGTGGAGTGTAGAAAAAAAAGCAGAAAAAGAAAAACACAACAGACTTTTGTAGTGGCACTGGCTCAGGTGGGCACTTGTGCCCATTTAGCGTTAAGTATTACTTGTAACTTTTTGCCATGTGACTGACTGAGAGTGCTCCTATCCACTTCGTCCGTTTTCCCATTTTCCATTTCCCGTTTAGCCCTTTCCCCTTTTCCCGCTTTTCCCGCAGGCCAGACAATGTGGCGATGTTCTCAGAAATCGTTGCCTAGTTTTATGGGCCCAGGACATGCAATGGATGGATTTACTTTTCGGCTCATTACGCCGCAAATTATATATTATTCACAAGTTTTTCTTTTTCGCCCGGCTAAAATTGCTTTATTTGGGGAGGGTGACTAATCCGGAGGACCCCTAACGTCACTATTAATTCCTTAAACAGCACATATCCGTTTTCCGACTAAGATAGTAGAATATAAGAAATTATTTTTAAAACAAATTTGTATTATGTTGTGAAAATACTCAGAAGAATTTTCTCTATTTTATAAAGGTGTCTATAAGTATGTTACAATTTATTTCAGAATCAATTGGCAATGTTACATTTTTACAGTATACTTTTTAGGCTAAATTTAAAGTGGTTTCAAACCTTATAAAACTCATTTAGTGATAGTACAATAATAAGATACTTTCTAAAATTTATTTAAAATGTTCTTCTTCACTTATATATCAAGGTTTAAAGTATTTCGAATATTTAATTGTCAAACCTACTTCCCTTTTGCCAAGTTTAAGTTAGTTTTGCCCCCTGATTACTCGGCGTTTGTATCTAAATACTAGCGACTATTGAGACTAATCACGCTAATGCCCAAATCTGTCTCAAAACGCGGACGACAGATGGCGCTGCTGTGCGTCCGTGTGAGCCCGAATGGCACTGTGCATGTGTGTGTGTGGTTATCCAGCTGCAGTTGCCTTCAATAATACGCCACGCCAAATGCCAAATAATTTATTTATTATATGTGCAGCTGACCAAAGCTGACTGGACCCCACACACACATACAGAGCATATTGGAGGTATATATATCCCGAGTCCTGAGTGAGATTTCATTACAACTCATTTGACAGTCTTGGTGCACTCGACGCTGCCAAAATGTCATAGCTGAGTGGCATGCATCGAAAGGGGGCAGCGGGGGAGAGTTACCCCCACCTACCATATACCCCAGATCCACCCGATTTCCCCGATCCCATGGCCAGCGGATTAGCGGACACGCATCGCGCACTGCCCCTACCTACTCCACTTACAGTGGAAACTCAGATTATTGAACTTTCATAAATCACATTTTTAAAAACTCTATTAAAATATTTTTGTTTGAAAAATACATTTTTACGGTTTAACCTTTAAAGGTGTCTAAAAGTATGCAATGAAAAATAGTAGCATGGAAATTAATGGAGAAATATTGTTGTATACTTTTAGACACTTTTATAAGAGAATCCAAATACTTTTAGATCAATTTTAAATTTCATTTTGTAACTTTTAAATTCTTATTAAAATCTTTTGATCGAACTAAAATGTAATAATATTTTTGTAGTAAATAGATTTTTAAAAATCATATCTTCGTAAAAGTACAAATAAATGCTTTCAAAATTTCTAAAAAAAACATTTTAATCTTGAAATCCCTAATCCAGGACCCTTTCCAATTTATCGCGTATCCACTGTACCTCATTTGTGAGCCTCAACACGAAATTAAGCGAAATGAAGTTGACCACGCTTCGATTTTGGCATCAAAGCGAACCGTTACCGCTTGCTGCTTGACCCGGTCTCCCTCCTCCCCTCTCCCCCCATTGACCACGCCTTCTTTGACGCCTCCTCCTCCCCCTCAGCCCCTGCCACACCCCCTGCTTTTGCTGGTGCACTTGCTGCATGCATTGTTAATACAATTGGAGTCCAACGTCAATAACCAAGTGCCACGAATGGACCATTAGTTGAGTTGCGTGGAGTTGAGTTGCGCTTCGCCTGATGCGGGCCCAGTCTATATGTCTATATGGAATATCTGAAACACCACAGAGGGGAGAAGCCCAAACCCCACCCACATTTGCGGGGCCATCTGCATTTATGTATTCTATATATAATTATGCGGCTTAGCGATTGCTTTGCCTTGGCGGATTCCTCCAATCGGCCCCGAAAATCCATGGCACTCAACTCTGCATTTGATGGCCCCGGACAGGCAGCGAATTTAATCAATAGTAAAACTAGTTTCTTAAAGCTGGGATTAATTTTCGCCAGTAGAATTTATAACTTCTCTAACGGGAAAACATTATTGGGAGTTGTTAAATTAATGTTGATCTAGGCTTTTTGGAAAGATTAATTGGGAAAAGTCCAAGTTTAAACTGGAATGTATGATGATTGAAATTGCATAAACTTTTCTAGTGATTGCATTGCTTTCATTTTAAGTAGCTAAGCCTCACACAAACTGCAATTAAATCATATTTGGTCTTGTCTTAAAATGATAGGAAAATTTGAGTTATACTTAAATAAACAGGAGAGCTGCCTAACTAATTGCATAACTTCATTTTAGAATATTTTTGCTAATTTAGACTGCTAAATAAATATCTTTACGGTTAATTTTATTAGGGTAAAAATAAGACATTTAGATATTTTTATAGTTCGCAATAAATTCTTTCATATTTATTTTTTAAATATTCTTCTACATTAAATATTATTGTTGTAGATATTAAATATATCTTCGAATTATGTTAAAAAATCCTTAATATGTTTGTAATATATTTTAAAAATTACACAAAAAAAAGGGTTGATTTAAATTGAAAACTGATCAAAGCCATAAAGAAATCTTCCCTTTCCCAACGATCCCAGTTTTTTGAGGGCTGACTTTCCGGGTGTCTCCAAATTGGATTATCTAAAAACGTTGGGGCGTTCGCATCTTCCGCCATTTTCTGTCTGGAAACGCCCCATGTCACAGAATCGGGAAGAAGGCGTTCCGTGCGAAACCGAAACCTTATTTTTTTGTTAGACAAACTCAGCCTTTTTGAGGCAGGTTTGCAAGAGACCCGAGACCCTCTGCCAGATTTCTGGTCTCTAGTCAGGCGTTAAGACCGCATCAATTGGGCGTGAAGGAGCAGTAACTCCCTGGCCCTAAGCCCTAAGTCCCGGCAAAACAGTCCGAGTCAAGCGGCACTTGTGCGGCTCTTCTGAGGTTTTCGGTTGCGGGGTGGCTGCCACAATTTCTGATTCGCTCAAGCAACAAGCCTCAGACGCAGTTGTCGTGGCAATGCAATTTAGCCAAAACTCACAGCAGGAAACGCCAGCGGAAGGGTAGGGCAAGGGCAACAAAATCTCTAATGTCTAATGTGCGGAGAGTGCCGGAAAAAATAAATATAAATGGGGGTGTCGAAGAAAAAATACCCATTACAGTGAATTATTATTTTAAAAATATTAGGGGGTGCCTTAAAAATCTCGGGAGTTTTGCTAGGATATTTTTGGAATCCCAAAGTGCTAATGATATTTAGGCGAAAAAAGATATCTATTATAAATAATTATTTAAAAATATTTGTTTAATTAAATTTTCACTTGAATTTTAAAATCACTTATTAAGGTGTCCAAAAGTAGGCAACAATATTTTAAGAACTATGTATATTTTTCGCTGCATACTTTTAGACACCTTTAGAAAATATTTTAAAACTATAGTGATTAATTTACCAATCACTTAAAGTTTCAATTTTTAAAACAAAAAATTTGTGATTTATTTATAATATTTTTTGTAGCATCCTTTCTTCAAAAAAGATATACCCTTATGTTTATTGAGAATCGCTTACAAAAAAGCATCGTGTTTGCTGGGGAGGAATCGAATGGCTTACCCCCTTAACTCCAGAGATTTTCCGTGAATCACCCTCGCTTATTTTTTTAAGAATTTCCCAATCTTTTGACGCTCAGGAAATTGTCAAGTGCCGGTCCAAAGTGTGTGTGGCTGCGATTGTGTGGGGGTGTGATTGGGTTCGTGTTTGTGTAAAACCAAAAATTAATTAGCGTGAAAAGCATTATT